TTGCTTCTTACTACCTAGTAATCCTGGTATGGCGCTGTGGGCTAACGCGTCAGACTGCAAAGTAATTTGAACTGCAAGGTTGGTGGTTCAAACTCACCAGCTGCTCCTTGGAAACCCTATACAGGGTCGTTATGGGTCGAAATCGACTCGACAGCACTTAACAACAAAACAACCTAGTAATGGTCTTATGCCAGATTGGTTACCCTTAGTGCAATCAGTCACTAGTACGCCATACAACAATCAGTCCAGCTCACTCTGATATGCTCATGAGAGCTTAAGGTAGCCCTCCCTAGTACAGTGGTTCTCACTCTAGTCTGCATCAGATTCCTCAAGAGGGCTTGTTAAAGCAAATTGCTGTCCTGCTGGTCTCCTCCTAGAGTTTCTGATTTACTGGATCTGGACTGGGACCTGAGAATTTGCGTTATTAACAAGTTCCTGGTGTGGTGCTGTAGAATAAACATTGGCAACAAGGACTCCTAGTGTGGCGCTGTAGGTTAAGCACTGGGCTGTGAATCACAAGGTCGGCAGTTCAAACTCACCAGCTGCTCCTCAGAAACTCTATACAGGGTTGCTATGAGTCAGAACCAGCTTGATGGCACTTGACAACAACAACAAACAAGTTTCCGGGCAGTGCTCTTGCTGTTGACATTTGGATTTCAGGTCTCTTCCTTATGGACTTTTGAACATGCTTTTCCTTCTGCTTGGAAACTTCACCCTTCACCTTTAGTGTATTTCTTCCATCTTCTCTTGATGCTTTCTGTATCATTCAATAATTTGCCCAGAGAATCTTTCAATAATGAAAGTTGAGGCTTGAATTTTTTCATCAGTTACCCCAGCTTGAGAAATGCTGAGCATGTTCTTCCTTTTTGGTTTTCTGATTCCAGATCTTTGCACATTTTGTTACAATATTTGGCTTTATCTTCTCCAGCTGATCTTTGAAATTTTTTGTTCAGCTCTTGGACCTCCTCATTTCTTCCATTTGCTTTACCTTTTCTATGCTGGAGAGCAAGTTTCATTGTCTCTTCTGACATCCATTTTGACCTTTTCCTTTCTTGTCTTCTCAATGACTTTTTGCTTCCTTCATGTATGATGTTCTTGATGTCATCCCACAACTCTTCTGGTCTTCGGTCTTTAGTGTTTAATGTATCAAATCTGTTCTTCAGATGATCCCTAAATTCATGTGGGATATATTCAAAATCATATTTTGGCTCTCGTGGACTTGTTTTCATTTTCTACAGCTTCAGTTTGAATATGCATGAGTAATTGATGGTCTGTTCCACAGTCTGCCCCTGGCCTTGTTTTGACCTATGATATGGAGCTTTTCCATCCTCTCTTTCCGCAGATATAGTCAATTTGATTTCTGTGTATTCTATCTGGCAAGGTCCATGTGTATGGTCATCTTTTATGCTGTCTAAAGAAGGTATTTGAAATGAACATATCATTGATTTTGCAGAATTCTATCATGCATTCTCCAGCATCATTTCTATCACCAAGGCCATATTTTCCAATTACTGATCCTTCCTCTTTGCTCTCAACCTTTGCATTCCAGTCACCAGTAATGATCAATACGTCTTGATTGCATATTTGATCAATTTCAGATTGAAGAAGTTGGTAGAATTCTTCAATTTCATCCTCACTGGCTTTAATGGTTGGTGCGTAAATTTGACTACTAGTGGTATTAACTGGTCTTCCCTGTAGGCTCATGGATATTAGCCTATCACAGACAGCGTTGTACCTCATGACTGATCTGGATATGTTTTTTTTTGACAATGACTGCAACACCATTCCTGTTCCAAATGTCATTTCTGGCATAGTAAACCATGTGCTCATCAGATTCAAAATGGTCAATACCAGTCCATTTCAGCTCACTAATTCCTAAGAAATCGATGTTTATGCATTCCATTTCATTTTTGACAACTTCCATTTTTCCCAGATTCATACTTTGTAAATTGCATGTTCCGATTTTCAGTGGATGTTTACAGCTGTTTCTCTTCATTTTGAGTTGTGCCCCATCAGTGAATGAAGGTCCTGTGGGCTTTTCTCTCACGAGCTTTACTCCAGTTGCATCATCACGGTTAACTCTGCTTTGAGGAGGCAGCTCTTCCCCAGTCACATTTTGAGTGCCTTCCAACCTGAGGGGCTCATTTTCTGGCACTATATCTGACAGTCTCTGCTATTCATAAGGTTTTCAGTGACTAAATATAAGGAAGTAGTTTGTCACTCGTTCTTCCTAGTCTGTCTTCATCTGGAAGCTTATCTGAAACCTGTCCACCATGGGTGACCCTGCTGGTATTTAAATAACTGGTGGCATAGCTTTCAGAATCACAGTAACTCACAAGCCATCACAGTATAACAAACTGACAGACGAGTGGTGGATCAACACTGTATACTGAGGGAATAGGTATGATCCTTGAAGTGAAGACTCCTTCCCTCTCATTTGGTGTTTTGAAGCTACTACATCCATAAGTATAGGTCAAGTTCATCAAATTGTAGCAGTTTACTCTTGGATCCTTTATCAAACTTCTTTATCTTCTTCCAGTTGAGCTCTGGCCATCAAGCCATCGAAGCTAGGTCAAATGGGTACTGTCTGCAAGTTTGGGCATTCTTGTGTGTTTCTCCCCACTTCATATTACATGGGTGCTTCACTCTCAGCTCTAGCCCTCTGTGGTCCATGCTCATGGGCTAAGGAGTTTCCAGGTCTCCCCAAACTTTGGACCAACTAGCCCTTCCACTTCTCTCTCTCGTCTCAAGGTGTCTGTGGAACGTTGTTGAACTCAGCCCATATCTTCATGACTTCCACTGACATGTAGATCAACCTGGTCACCGTTGAGCTTACATCCCTGCTCGTATATTCCCTTTGAGTTTCAGTCTTGGAGGGGCGTTTATCCTGAAGGGATTTGATTGCTTGCTTTTACGGCTTACTGGCAAACAGCTTGCTTATTGTTGAAGTAGCCAACCAGGCTGCCATTTTTATTTTCGTTTTTTTTCCTGCTGGTCTTTCTTTCAAGAAGTATCTTCTGTTCCTCTAGCCACTCTAGGCTGCTCTGTATGTCCTTTCAAGTGGGAATGTCCCACCTCAGAAGGTTCTGGATAGGGCTCAGGATTCTACCTAAGGTCCTATATACTGCAAAGGCTCTGTGAGAGGCCTATTTCACTGGGCAAGTTCTAGAACCCCTTTTAGGTCTTCCAGTCAGTTATAGGCTAAAGACAGGTTTATCATTTTCTGTAATCATGTTTCCTGATATTTCTTTCTATCTCACTCAAGTGTCTGTGCTACAATTTACTGCTTTCTTTTGTTATATATTTTCTAGTATATTATTTTAATTCCTTGTTATTTTATCAATTCCTACTAGTCCATCAGGGGAGTGTGGTGGCTCTGAATAGTAAGCAGTGGACTGTAAACTGCAAGTTCAGTGGTTTGAGCCCACCAGCCGCTCCACAGGAGATAAATGAAGCTTTCTGCTTCCACAAAGATTTACAATCTGGGTAACCCTATGCATGATCACCAGGAGTCAGAACTGACTAGACAGCTTTTGACAATAACTAGTCCATCAGAGCCCTGGTATAGCACTGTAGGATTATCACTGGACAGCTAACCTCAAGCTCAGAGGTTCAAACCCACTAGCCGCTTTGTGGAAACCCTATACAAGGTCACTATTTGTTGGAACCGACTCAAAGCCACTTAACAACACCTAGTCTATCAGATCCCAGTGTGGCTTCCTGGAGAAGCCTTCCCTGACATTACCCCAGCTGGGCTAGGATCCCTTTCTTTGAGGCCTTATCGTGGTAGACATCACGTTGGACTGCGCTTGCCTATTTAACTCCTGATGTTTCTGTGGCTCACTATTGGATGGGGTCAGTCACAGTCAGGATAGTTGGTCAGTACTATGAGCCCATTTCTGCTGGGAGCTGCTGAGAGGGCTTTAAGTGCAGAGTCACCTGAACCTGGGATGGAAAGACAGAGTTGGAAGAATGTGGAGACAAACCCTCATCTGACTACCCCTTTGGATTTCTGGGCAAATAAAACAACCTGGGTTCTGTATCATGGTGTCTAACCAGCAACACAACACAACAGTGAGTACTTACTGCTCAGGGTACTAGGGTGTCTGGGTAGGCAGCTCTGCTGATGCTGCCTGAGCTCCCTCTCATGTCTGGGGATCGAGCCAGGATCTCTGGCTGGAGAGTGAACCAGAATGGCAGCATCTGGAATGACTGGGATAACACATGGGTCACTTCCATCCTCTGGGTCCTAACCTGGGCGATGGCGGAAGGCAAGAGTGAGTCATTCCTGTTACATATACACAGTAGAAGCCTCTGCTTGTACCACATTTGCTGACATCCCATTGATCCAAGCCAGCAAAGTCAGGGGAGTTCAGGATCCGAGTGGGAGTGCCCTACACACTAATGGTGGGAGAGAGGAATGGTCCAGGCTGTGATTATCATCTTCCATAGATTAAGGACAGTCACGTGGTGGCCAGTAGACAGGAGCTCTGCTAGCGTAGTGGGTTCTTCGTTGGGCTGCTAACCACAAAGTCAGCAGTTGGAATCTACCAGCTGCTGCGCCTGAGAAAGATGAGGCTTTCTGCTCCAGCCTTGGAAACCCCAGTCAGTGTTGCTGTGAGTTGGAATCGACTCCACAGCACATCACCACCACCAGTGGCCAGTGGAGTGTTGCCAAAAGGTTAGGTGTTTGAGTCCACCCAGAGGTAACTTGGAAGAGAAGTCTGGGAATCTCTTCTGAAAAGTCTATATTCAATCGATCTGGAAAATTCTGTGGAACACAATTCTTCTCTGCACATATGTGAGAAAAGACTCGACAATACCTGGTCCTGTCCTGTAATCCCAACAGCAGGGTTTCTGTGTGTTAACACATCTTAAAAACATACAGCTGGCTTTTTTGTTGTTTGTTTAAATTTAAGATCTTAATCATAAGAACTGTTTCTTGCTCTTTTATGTGGAGATCAAGACAGGTAGTAACACTGTTGTGGTTCCTTGTACAGACTTGAAGGCTGTCGTCATTGGAGAAGTCCACGAGAACATTACTCTGCAGTGTGGCAACATCTCGGGGACCGTGGGCCTGGTGACTTGGTATCGGAATGACTCGGAGCCTGTCTTCCTTCTGTCCTCGAATTCCAGCCTCCCATCAGCTGAAGCACGTTTCTCTCTGGTGAATGCCAGCTCCCTGCACATTGAGGCGCTGAGCCTGCAGGACGAGGGGAACTATACCTGCCGGGTGATCCTGAACGAGACTCAGTGGTTCACAGTATGCCTGCAGATGGCCAGTAAGTGGAGTGGGCAAGGAGCATGGAGGAGAGGGACATGGTTGGCAATATGGGGCTTAGTCACGTAGTCTGGGTTTTCTTATCTCTGTCTCTGCCACTTATAAGCAGAAGGACATTTCTCATACCTGCATGAAGAGAATTCTTGTCTCATAGGTTCCTTGTGAAGAATAGGTACCACTTGATCTACATAAAGTGCTCTAAATGACTCTGGGTATATTGGTTAGCTACTATTTTTGGTGGTGGTGGTTATGTGCTGTGGAGTCAGTTCTGACTCATAGCGACCCTGTACAGAGTTTCCGAGGCTATAAATCTTTATGGGAGCAGAAAGCCTCATCTTTTTCCCATGGAGCAGCTGGTAGTTTTGAACTGCTGACAATGCAGTTTACAGCCCGATTCGTAACCACTTTGTTACCAGAACTCCTTTTAGTTCATTGTTAATGCCATTCCTGGTAATAACATTTTATTACGCAACAGAGTCACAGAATAACAATCCATTTAGACTTTGAGTTTCAATCCTGGGACTGTTTCTTAGTTTTGTGTTACCTTAAGTAAGTAGCTTGACATCTCTGAGCTTCGCTTTCCCTTATTTATCAGGTGGAATTCATATGCAGCTTACCTTCCCAGGTATAAGGCTCCTAAGTACATGGTTTGGGATTAACTACTATTCCTATGACTCTTTCTTGAAACAGTTTATTGTAGCTTTCAATATATAAGCATGAATTTAGAGCACAGGAGTGCACTATGGCCTGTGGACATATCTGGCTCCAGATGTTTTTTTTGCCTTTTTCAAGAATTATAAGTTTTTAAAAATTGTGTTGTTGTTGATCATCTATACAACCAAATATACCTGTTCAGCAGTCTCTGCATGTACACTTTGGTGACATTGATTACATTCTTCAAGTTGTGCAAGTATTCATTACCTTTTAACAGAAAAATTCTGAAGATTACTATTTTATGACATGTGAAAGTGATAGGAAATTCACATTTCAGCATCCCTAGATAAATTTCTGTTGGAACACAGGCACTCGCTGTCAGTTACCTATTGCCTGACTGCTTTCACTCTACAGTTAGTGTGGAGTCGGGGAGACAGAGACTGTGGCCTACAGTGCTTAAAATATTTACCAGCTGACCCTTTGCAGAGAGAGTTTGCTGACTTTGGTATAGTCTGATGACTCATATTCTATATCTGGGGTGTATGGTAATGGGAACATTTAATGGTCTCTTTGCTCTGTACAGTTTACTCTTTTCTGTGTGAATATGTGTATGATGATAGGAATGAGCAAACAATTGAGTGCGTACTTTCCAACGAAAGCTTGGCAGTTAGGACCCACCCAGAGGCGCCTTGGAATAAAGATCTGGTGATTTACTTGGAAAAAACAAAACAAACAATCAGTCATTAAAAGCCCTGTGGACACAGCTCTACTCTGATACATGCTGAGGTCACCGTGACTTAGAATTGACTCCATAGGAACCCACTTGTTTGTTTGCTATTTTTAAAAATACATACAAGGGGGCTTCAAGAAGTTCATGGAGATAAAAGTTAATGGAATTTCTCCATGAACTTTTTGATGACCCCCTCGTATTTATTGAGAGCTTACTGTATGCCAGGCACAGTTCTAGGCATGGGGACATGGGACAAAAGTTGACAAGATTCCTGCTTTCATAGAGCTGACATTCTAGTTTGGGAAGATGGACAATAAATGCATAAGACAGTATCAGTGTGACAATTCTGTGCAGAGCCTTAACATGGGGCGATGTGATTCCCTGAAGTATTTTAAATTGGGAGGTCAGGGAAGAACTTTTAGAGGTAGCAATAGTTAAGCTGAATGATATGTAGGAGCCAGACTTGCAAAGATAAGCAGACAGAGTATTCTAGCCAGAGTAATTGATGTAAGACAGAATGAATGTGGTGTCTTCCTGGATGGGTAGATGGCAGGAACCTGGTGTAGATGAGAGGGAAGGAGGGATGAGACTTGGCAGGCTGGGCCAGACCAGCAAGGAGTTAGGATTTTATTCTAGGTGCAGGACAGACTAAGTGACAGCTTCTAACCAGGCGTGGCACCATTTGAGTTACATGTGGAGAACGTATGGATGTGGTCGTGAGAGGGACTGATAAAAGAAAAGTAGGGAAACCGAAACTTTGGTGGCCAGATCTAAGACATTGGTGGTCAGAACCAAGATGGCAGCAGTGGCATTGGGGAAAATGCACAGAGTCAGAAAATAATTTGGACGTAGACCAGTGGGAGCTTGTAGTTGGATCCGTGGGATATAGGGAGTGAAGAAACAAGAGGCCTGAAGGACACATCTCGAGTGTTGGATGATCTGTAAGATTTCTGGCAGCTCTTGAGCTTGTGGATTCCAGGAGCACTGTGTTTCCATATTTGGAGGTGCCACAGATGAATTGTTAAGAAGTCAGTAATGAATGTGGGTGTTTTTTAAAATGCCATGAATTTTGGCCTAGCTGTCTTGGGGAACGTTCCTGCTGTGAGCCCACAGGCAAGTCCTCTCCTGCTGGAGAGTTGTTATTGTAATGTGCTGTGGAGTCGGTTCCGACTCACAGCGACCCTATACAGGGTTTCCAAGGCTGTAAATCTTTATGGGAGCAGAAAGCCTCATCTTTATCCCATGGAACAGCTGGTAGTTTCAAACTGCTGACTTTGAGGCTCACAGCCCGATTCTGGAAAGCAGTAATGCTTATTTCCTTCACGTCACTCTTTTTTTTTTTTTCAAGATTTCATGATACTCCTTTATTCACAAGCACATGAGAACTCATCACAGACAGATAGTGAAAAATTAATCACATTCCCAAGGGAATACAATAGATTATTTCCATACATCATCACCTTTTTTTTTTCTAAGTATCACTTTTTTTTTTTAATGTTTGATTGTAGATTATGTGATAGTTTACATGGGAGAACATTAGTTTTACATTCATCCTATCGTATATCGTTTCATTGCCATGATTACAATCCCCTCCATGCATCATCAACCAACCAAAGGGTATACCCTACAAGGCGCGCCCCCGCATCAGTCGTCAGCACACAGTCACTCTCCCTCTCTGGGTCTAAAGTTCCCAGCTGTTCCATCTCTCCATGTCATCTCTGCCTCCATCTCAGGCATCACTGCTTCTCTGGGTAGGGTCCCGCTCTCCACTCTTTTCCCTTAGTGGTCCCAGGTACCTCTGTTCCTAGACTGGAAAGTTAATCACTCCCCTCCTTGCTACAAAATGTCTACCTTTACATTCCCAACCCTCACAATCAGTCCTGATAACAATTAGTCACTATTGTATCCCAAGAGATCTGCATTTCCATTCATCAGCTCCGCCTAGACAGATTGGATACTACCCAGTGGAGATTCTACCTTCCTCCAGGCCCTCTGGATCTAGGTGCCCTCTAGAAAGCTTGTAAGCCAGTCACTTCTTGCCTTTGTAGCCCCCTGCCCCCTATTTTGGGTAGCCAATGTCCAAGTTACCCATCCCTGTCTACTCTGTATGTGGAGGGGGTGGGAATGATTCTTGCTGTAAGGGTTTGTTCCCTCTTTTGAGCTACTGCTTCCATAGGTGTAGGTCAAGTTCATTAAATTGTATGAGAATACTTTTTTTTTTTTCCCTCTTTTTTTTACTTCTGGTTGAGCTCTGCTCATCCAGTCATTGAAGCTAGGACAAGTGGGTATTATTTGCAAGTGTGGGTGTTCTTACGCATGTGCCCTCTCTTCTTATCAGCTGGATGTTAAGCATCACTTTTAATAGCATGTTGTTTACCTATCTTTACAAATAGTCTCTAGAAAGGATGCTTCAGTGATCTGCTCACAGTGTATTATACCGACTAATATAATTTCCTTATAGGAGTTAGGGTTTTTGTTTTTAACTTTAGTGTGAATTGAGTGAAGGTTTACAGAGCAGATCATCCATTTTACAGTCAACAAACCATAGACTTTCCATCATTATTCGGTTGCAATCCCCTCCATGCCCCTCTTTTCACTTTAACCACTGCATTCCTCCCTGTGTCTCCTGCTACCCCTATTGTTCCTCTGCCAACTTCCCTGCCTCGTCACCCATGTCAATGCGTGTCTACCCTCTAGCACATGTATCATTTCCTTCTCCCCACAAAACGACAATACATTTTTTTTTTTTTTTAATCAAGAAAATCCCCCTCTCCTTTTTTTTTTTCTTTATTCCTTTGTTTTGATGTACCTAAACAAACCACTCAGGGATATATAATCATTTAAACAATCAAAGGGCGCATTCTGGAAGCCATTCTCCTGGCCACCATAACATAGCCTTTCTCTTTCTATGAGTCTAGAGTCCTCAGCTGCTCAATCTCCCCATTCCATCACCTCTGCCTCCAACTCTGGTATTGCTGCTTTTCTGGTTAGGGTCCCATGTTCAGCTCATTCTCTTCTCTTTTGGTGGTCCTAGGATCCTCTCTTCCTGGAATGTAAGATGAACTACACGCCCATTTTTGTTACACTACTTTTACATTGGCAGTTGTGATGATTGCAGTTAGGTATGATAACAAGTACTCACTATTGAATCAATGAATCCTTTCACCACACCTGTCTAGACAAGATGAAAACTATTCAGTGGGGACTCTTCCTTCCTCCACACACTCTGAAAGTAAACTCCCTCTTGAAAATGTGTAAGCCAGCCACTTCATGCCTTTGTTGTTGTTGTTATGTGCCATGGAGTCAGTTCCGACCCATAGCGACCCTGCACAGGGTTTCCAAGGCTGTAAATCTTTACGGGAGCAGAATGCCTCATCATTCTTCCGTGGAGCAGCTGGTAGTTTCGAACTGCTGACCTTGCGGTTCGCAGCCCAATTCGTAACCACTATGCTACCAGAGCTCATGCCTTTATAGCCCCCTATTTTAGGTTGCTAATGTCTCAGTTGCCCATCCATATCAACCCTGTATACAGAGGGGATAGGTTTGATCCTTAATGTATGGACTCCTTCCCTCTTGGTTTGTATTTTGAGCTACATCCATAAATATAGGTCAAGTTC